CCCCAAAACCCCAAAACCCCAAAACCCCTTTTCAAAATCTTTAGCTTGAAACTAAACTTCCCTTCTACTTATCCCACTTCTAATTGCTACCTCATAGTTCAAAACCCAGTTTTATTTCCTCAAAACACCTCTAAATGCTTCTATCTTCTCTTCTTACTTTATTTTTAGCTTTAAAGGATAACTTATTACAGACTTTCTTCATCAATATCATTATCCATTTCTTGACTGCTATCATCTGAATTCTGACTGCTTTGCTCTGATGACGATGAGCTCTTGCTTGAACTCTGGCTGATCAATTCTTGTCTGCATAAGCAAGGCTTTGATCATTTTCACAATGAACAATATGTTGTATGTTTTGTCTATATCACCATAAATTAGTGTTCTTAATATTTAGAAAAATTCACAGTAAAATAATTCAAAATTAAAGTGTTCTATTGGCTAAAGTGTTTTCTGTTTCAGAGAAAGAGTGGTACAGAAGGTAATTTTCTATTTGAGATTGTAAGTCTATTAGCTTTACTTACAGCATCTTTTCTCTTAGCTTTAGCTACTCTTTTTCTGTTTTCTTCTTCACTGCTTGAAGAGCTTTCACTCTGTGATTCCTTGACTTCTTCAAGTGAAGGTTCACTTTCGTTTTCGCTTGACTCGATCTTTCTTCTCTTGCTTCTCTTCTTGAATGGGGAGGCTGACTTTGTGGATGGTCTGCCCTTCTTTCCCTTGTGGACAGTGTTCTCAAGGGCATAGTTGCTCTTCTTCTTAGGCTCGTATGATCTTTCTGATGATTTCATGTTCTTGGGTGATTGGCCTTCATTAGACCTCTCGAGGTCAAGCTTGTCTCGAGCTGGCAACAATTCTTCTAATTTGAGCTTCTTTTTATAGTTCTGGTAGAAATTCCTGATCTGTTTCTCAGTTTTATTAGTGATTACATCTGAGATCCTCTTCCAGTCCTTCCCGTGAATCGAGAGTTGTTTTTTGAATTCTTCCTTTTCAGGCTCTATCCAGTGAGCCATGGATTTTCTTTCACTAGCTGTTCTTGAGAACTGTGGTTTTGGGTATTTCGAGGATCTTTGCATTGAAGAGGTAGAATTCACTTTCTCATGGCCTATAGAGGAACTCCTGATTGATAAATCTTCATGGTTGAAAGACTTGTTTGGGATGAATGGAGCCTCGGTTTTCTTAATTTGAGGTTTGTTCTCTCTCATGTAGGCATGAGAAGTTGATATCCCCATCTCATAGGTTTGGGTAAGCTGTTCACTATCGTTATTCTTGCTTGTAGGAGTAGCTTTGTTAACTTTATCATATGCTGAGTTGCTGAATTTGATAGTTTCTTCTTTATCAGATTCAATAGCCATTTCAGAGTCACATGATAGGTTCTTTTCTAAGAGGAGGAAATCAGGCTGATATCTACCTTGGTAACCCTCTTCATAATTTTCAATGTCTTCTTCATCTTCAGGGTTATTGTCTTCCTGCATGGTGATTTCTTCTTGCTTCTTATTTTTAGTTTTACTATTGATTCTGTCAAAAATTTTCCTTTGTGGAACGACATCAGTGAGTCGTTTTGAATTCAATACAAATTTCTGAGTGTCAGTAAGGATTTGGCTTTCACGAGCATCAAGAGCTTGTTTGAGGGGCTGAAAATTAGATAGAAGTTTAGCCTCAACTTCCTCTCCATTCTTCATGACTTCGTCAAAGTAAGCGCATGTCCATGGGCCGATATCTGTGTTGGGAGGTCTGTAAACAAGTTTAACTCATTCTGTGTTGCTTCTTTTCTTAGCTTCTTCATACATCTGCTCTCGTTTCTTGTGCTTTGTCTGGAGATTGTTCCTGTCACTGCTTGAGTTACTGAAGATCTTCATTAGCTGGAATGTTGTGAATTTCGTAACAGGCAGACCAAATTTAGATTGAGAGTAATCCTCATATTCTTGGTAGTACTTGGAAGTAATCTCCTTTATAACCTCATCTGCTGCTTGGTTTATGTATTCTATTTTCTTATGATTTGGTCGAATAGCATAATTGTTGTAAGCAGTAGATCTACTGGGGTATCCTGATTTCTTGAGTTCCCTGTACTTTGGCCTCTCGATTTCCATGACATGCTTGACTAGCTGGAAGTGAAATTTAAAGTTGAAATAGAAGTTTACAATATCCTTGTTGGTCTTATTGTTGAAAAATGATGTGATCTTGTTGAAATCCTTTGGATAGTTTAAATATTGCACCATGAAGTTCCTTATATCTTCAAGACTCCAGATATCTGAGCTTTTGTAGTCATAGTCGTATCTGATCAAGTCAAGGATACTTTTATGAGTTGGCTCAATTCCAAAGAATTCTTGTTTATAATGGTTGTAATTTGCTTTTATAATATGAGCTTTGCCTTTACGGAACAGTTCTATCTCTCTGTCATAGCCTTCTTCATCTTCATCATGGTCTTTCTTCTTGTCCATCCATTGTCCTCTAGAGTTGTTAGTTGTCCTCTTGGATTGGGTCTTTTGGAGTTGAGGTGTGAAATCTTCAGTAGGGATGGCTGAATCCTTCTCCAGGATCTCCTTTAAAAGATCTCCATCTTTTTGTCTCAAGTCAGAATGCCAATCAGTGCTACCTTTCTTCATATTAGAGGGGCTCTCGTTACTTTTACTAACTCGTTTGGACCATTCTAGATAGTCATGATCGAATTTGTGATGGTAGAAAATCTCTTTTTGAGCTTTCGTTTTTATGGATTTTCGAATGAAGTTGACTACTTTATCTTTATTTAGAAATGAAGTCAAGTCTCATTCTCCGCAAGTACTCTTCATTTGTAGGAATGAAGTCGTATTGTACATCTAGGTCCATGAAGATCTTTGTATCTTGGTTCAGATTGGGCAAAACCGTTAGATTTAATTTCTCCTTTATATACTTATTCTTCCGCTCTTGCTTCTTTTCTTCAATGAGTTCAAAATTTTGAATGGGTTTTGAGAAGTTTTTGTCGAAAATCCTTCCATTTTTCTTAATGATTTCTGCATTTTGAGACTTGATCTGTTCTATTAACTGAATGGTCTTCTTATTATGAGGCTTGAAGTTTGACAAGTGCTCGCTCAGGTAAGATTTAATCTTAGATTGAGTATCAGTTCCAAGAGGCTGGGTGGAATGGAATTTCAAATTATTCCGATAGGCAAAGTTAGACCCGTCAACATCTGAAGTGTTGACGATATTGTGCTTCAGCACATCGATGTGAGAGTCCTCTTCTTTGATAGCTTTCTCAAGAATAAGGATATCGTTGTCTATCTCGTTGAGCTTAATGATGCCGACCTTGTGCATGCATTCGTTCTTGAGAGCTATTATTTTGAGCATATCTGTTGTGGTAATTCCTTTAGCCTCATTGCCACCTCTATATGATCATTTTGGAGGATAGTACTTTTTGGATATATCAGATTTGAGGTCTGAGTAGATACTCTTGTTGACAAGTAAATTCTGGGCCTGACCTCCTTTGCTTTCTGGGGTATCCTTCTCTGGGTTATTTTGACCCTGAGGAGGCCTTAAAGGAGTGTTATATACATCTTTTTGTGGAGTCGGAATTCTGAGAGGTCCTATATTAGAGGTCATCACTCTAAGCGAACTCTCAATGTTATAGTCAGCTCTTTGGGGACCAGAGGGTCCACTGTTAGGGTACATCTTCTTTTGATTATCAAAATTTTATATAAAAAGGGGTTTTGGGGTTTTGGGGTTTTGGGG